TTTACATCACTTCTCTGCCTATGTCGCACTTGTGCATTCATGTGACCTGGCTTTAATTTAACATTTGGTAAATATTTGCATAGTAATTCCTAAAGTGTTCTCCCACACATAAAGGAAATGATGATAAACAGTTTTTAAGTGGCTTGATGTTAAACACAAACATGACTTGCAGCCCTAAGGTAAAGTGCACATTAGAGTAACTGTTCAATATTCATTTGGGAAGTGCTGGTATGCATTATACCAGGTAACTTATTTGTACTTTCTCTGTACATATTTAGATGTTTGTTCTGTATACCTCAGCTAAATTTCTGCACAAGGGTTATATGCCATGCTGTAAGAGAACTTCTTCCCACTTGTGCTGTTAGGGTATTTTGGAACTGTTTTGAAGAAAGCCTGTGGATGTATTTTCACCTAAATGACCCTGCTATCAGGAGAGCATTTAGGAGCACAGATAGATGGTAACCAAACTTGAAAGCTGCCCAGAGCTTCTAGGCTGCTGTTAGTGTTTTGTTTTTACAAGAAACAAGTTTTTGAAAACTAATTCTTTCTTCTTGGGTGTATGAACTTCCATAGATGATGGTTAAGAAGATACTGGGAAGAATCATTCTAGGCACTGTCAGTCATTGGAAGAGGGCTTAAATCTCAAACTAGAACCTCTGCATTTCAGAATACACTTCTTAAACTCTTTTGCTTTATATTTCAGAGTTTCTCAGCAAGTGCGTTCTCAAGTAAATATGTCCTTAATCCCTTCCCTGAGTGAGAATGAGGTGTCATCTTCTCCTATATTGTTTATAAACTTAGAAATCCAGCATTTTCTGCTTTTAACAGGGAAGCAGTGTTATTTCATTGAAGCAAACATATGCAAGCTGGGATCAACCCTTCACACGTCAAACACTGCAACAACCTACGACCTGTGTTATTGGGTTCCAACTTTCAGACCTTTCAGGAAACACTGTAGAGGCAGGAAAGCTTTCTGTTTTGCAAGGACTCTGGTGATAATACTTTAATAAAGTTACCCTGTTACTTTGGAAATGCGTTCTCCTGCCTAGCAGTTTTACAATATATGGAAAGCTGAAGTGTTCTGGAAGTTCTTGTGGTGGTTGTATCTTACTAAAATGTAAGAAACTTAAATGAAGACCATCCTTTTTTAAGGAAAGGTTTGATTTCTCTTATGCCGATTCTATCTTGTATGTACCACAGTTATTTTTCAGACCCGTTCTACTCCTTTTGAGCTCTAAATAACTTACAAAACATGAGTGTGTGTGTGGATGCTTATGCATGCACATTCATTTTTCCTCCTGTTATTGTCCATCCCCTACTCATCATGGGGTGAAATGATGTTTGGGACTTAAGATATTCAACTCTTACATGTACTGGTAGTTAATGGCTTGTTTTATATGGCAGGTTAGCTAAAATACCAGTGTTTTATTTAGTGGAGCTGTCTGGTCTCTTGGTGGGAGTAAAGAAGCACTGAAGAAATTGTTATATAGATTTTAGTGGTTTTTTTTTTTTTTACATATAAACACTTTGTATCCTATGCATGGCAGTGTTTGGAGTTCATCCAAAGAACAGAAAATGTTCTCTGACTTTGAAATCACTTTGGAATGGGTGAGTGATTTTGCTGGTCAGATGAACTGCTGTTACTGCTGTGACTGTGCAGAGGGAATTTCCTCCACCTAGGCTGTCTAGAAGTAGTTACTATTGGCTTCATCAAACAAGTCTATAAAAAGAAGCATATCTCTCTCTGTGCTTAGTAGCTGTTTTTTTTTTTTTTAACTTGCAGGGCTGAAGTTCTGGTTAACTTAATGGAAGCCAGTTTCATATTTGTATCTCTGACACAGCAGATGTTCAGTCTTCTTGTAGTTTCTGGTGGTTGCTGTAATTGGGAAGTCTCAGGACCCAAAGGTCATAGTGTCTTCACACTGTGTGTACCTGAGTCATAATGTTTGTGGGAGCGGTACCTAAACTATTAGGACGTATTTTTCTGATAAGGAAGCTATTTGAATCCTGTTCTGCTTTAATTCTTGTATTTCAGTATGAATTGTCATTCCTTGCTTTCAAAAAAAAAGTTAACATTGGCTCCACTTGCTACAAAAGATTGGTGAGGAATGGCATCTTCTGTCCTTTCAGACTGATTTAGAGACTATTTTCTCTTGATATGGCCAGTAACAAACTCATTAAATTACTATATTTGTTATGGCCCAGAGTGAAAAGAAGGTTAATTTAAGCTTAGTTTAGGATAGCTGTGTGTCTTGATCTTGTCTCCTGCCAGCTTGCTGCATTCTGTTGGGGCAGTGGAGCTTTTGCTGTCCTTTTTTCTTTATTTCTTTTTCCATGACACATCTGGGTTGATGCAGCTACTGAATCACAAATAGAAGGGAACATTGAAAGCAAAATATTCCTATCAGCTGTTTATTTTTTTTTTCACATCTACATTATTTTGTCTACAGGATGCTTAAACATCATAATATGTGTAAAAGGTTTTAATGTATCTTCAGGTAAAACTCTGTTAGCTGCAGAAGTGTGAATGGAGTGTTTTTCAAATATGCTGTTTTAGTGTCACTAACTCAGAAAACCTTTTGTGACTGCATTAGTTAAAAAGTTCAGGAGGAACATTTGTGGCTACTGATGCATTCCAGTTTGAGAGAATCGTATTTTCTAAGTTAATTGGCAGGGTCAAATGACACTCTTTCACAAGGTTTCTGCATTAGGTAAATTGTTTGAGCTAAGTTAACCTGCTTGCTTGTTGCACAGAGGTTCATCTCTTCCTTTTCATCTTAGAATTTTGTGGTTATAGTAAAAATGCTTAAATCAGGAGCTTTAAAACAGAGCTTTGAGCTCTAATAGTTGTCTACACTTCAGCACCTTGCAGAGACAAAAGCATCATAGTTGATTTGCTTAAACTGTCTAATTTTGAACAGCTGATACCTACAATGAACAAACATTTTCAGTTTTACAAATGAGTGGTTTCAGTGCAAGATGAAATAACTGTAGTTAGAGGTGAATTACAGATTAAATAGATCTGTTACAAATAGAGATACTTTTATGTGCTTACTTGGGTGGTTGTCGTTAAGCCGAAGTGTACTTTAGATACACTTAATCCTCAGACAAGTGTAAGGGGGTAAAAAGACTGTGGGCTAACCTAAGGCAGCTAAGCCCCACACAGCTGCTTGCTCACTCCTTCCCTAGTCGGCTGGGGAGGAGAATTGTACGGGTAGAAGTGAGAACTCATGGGCTGCGATAAAGACAGTTTAATAGGCAAAACAAAATTCCATGGTATGGAATATGCCTTTGGCCAGTTGGGTCAGCTGTCCTGGCTGTGCTGCCCCAGCCTACTCACTGGTGGGGTGGTGTGAAAGCCAGAAAAAGCCTTGACTCTGTGTAAGCACTGCTCAGCAATAACTAAAACATCACTGTGTTATCAACACTGCTCCAGCAACTAGCTGCTATGAAAGAAATTAACTTTACCCCAGCCAAAACCAGTACGTGTGACTGGAATAATTGAAACTGAACTGATGAAGCTAGATGAGTCAGAACAGGCAAAACATTTTGTTTAGAGTTCACACATCAAAGTTGCTAGTGGCATGATGGGCTGACCTATTGGTAATGCCAGGGTAGTTGTGGTGTGAGGCTTTTCAGTTTGTTTTTTGACTGCTGCCTATTGATGACGTAATCAAATTGATCCACATCTGTACCTGTGATGGAATTATCCTGATTTATCTGCAGTCTGCATCAGTTAATGCCCAAAGCTATAGAATGCCCATATATAAATATGGAGTGGAATATCTGTACTTCTGAGGGACTTAATTATGTGGGGAATATCCAAATGTAGTGATAAGGGACTTGCTAGTCTATATAGTGTGTCTGTTGTGCTTCACTTGGTTTCTGAGAATTGTGATCTATTTAGACTTGACAAGGAAAAAGAAATTGGAGATACAGATGTAATATAAAGGAATTACTGGGATTGTGTATTGCACATCAGCAGTGCTTTTCTTTGTCCATTTCTGAAAAGCTATATGTGTGCGTGCCACTTTCACGACCATTAATTTCAGCATATTCTGGCCAGTCTCAACAGTATTTGTTGGAACACTCAAATCCGCTTTGCAGTCTCAACTAAGCACGTTTCCTTTCTTCAGTGTGCTGTCCAAAATGTACCAGTTCAACACTTATTAATGCTGACACCATAGGGTACTCAAACTTGTTGCTATCACTGGATGAGCTGCCATGTGCTTGTTAAACCATAGCTGGCCCTAACAGGAGAAATGGTTGAATGTTAAGGCAATTCAAACGTAATTCCCACTTAGCCTGTCCCTCTCGGAACCTAGGTATACACAGTAAGGTGGTATGGTTTGAGGGCAATGATTATGGATGCTGTGTCTGCTTCCTGATTTGTATTTCATGTCAGGGAGAATTTGCTGCTGAGCAGTGTGTTTTGAACCTTTTGCCTTCAGGGTCAGTGGAATGATGGCTAAGCTCCCATTATTGAAGTCAAGTGATAATATATGAGGAAAACATTGTCTTGGAAAGCTAACTTGATTCCTCTTCATCTGGTATGCAATGTTGTATTAGAATTTGAGAGCATTTATTTGTGAAAGCAAGCTGTGATTTATTCTATTCATTTATTTTTTGCCACAGTAGCCTGACCTACTTCCTCAGAGAAATAAATAATGGGAGTTTTAAATATATATAAATACAGGCCTTTACTCCTCCTCCTATAAACTGTCAGGAGTGGTGCATTTCCATCCATATATGTATTTATATTAACTGTTTAAAAAAAGAATAAGGGAATGTACATTTTGAAGATCTTTTGTGTAGTGTTCTGTAAGTAGTGTCTTGTTATGTGTCTGTAGTTTTCATTCTATTTTGAATTTTGGCTCCAAGCTTCCACCCCACGATTAAAGAGGTAAGTAGGTGGGAAGCGAAGGTATACAAAACTGCTTTGTCTGACAACACTAAAACCATGCAAGGTTAGATTAACAAGTCTTGTGTTTGTCGTACAGGATCCAGCTTCTTGGGTAAATATTCACCACCTGGAGTATACAGATGGAGGCATTCTGGACCCAGATGATGTGCTGGCAGATGTTGTGGAAGACAAAGATAAGGTAGAGCTTGGATAAAAATACTGGTTTTGCTTTTTGGTGTGTCTCTTCAGAGAACTAATGCTACTTTCTTGTTTCTCAGGCATCTGGCAAGTGAAGTGGGTGTTAAATATTCCTAAATGAAACACATCTGCCCATAGGTGCTATAGCTCTCCGTTTCTGGAGTAGAACTGGGCGGGGGGGCGGGGTGGGAAGAGACAGATACAGGATGGGGGACATACCTTTTCAAGTAGTTCTGTTTTTCTTTTTATTGCTGCATGAAAGCAGAGTGGTAGAGGAATGAGAGTTTTGTAAGACATCTTTTTTTCATGCCACTTGAAATATCTTTTATAGTCTTTTTCCTTTGCTTAGAATTGTTTTTGAGAATCATTCAAATGTCATGATCGAATGTGTGACAGACAAATCCTGTGATGACAAGAACAACTGCCTCAACTGTGTTGAATTTCAAGAGCAATTCCTGTCATTTGCTACTGAAAGTCTAAGCAGTTATAAATTTTAGAAGCTATGAGCCTCTAACTTTCGTTTCAGATAAGATAGATGTCCCTTCTGGGGAGAGAAATGGCAGCTGCAGAGAGGCCCGTTTTACATTTTTTGTAATTATCAGGAAAATATAGTTTTGGGAAAATAATCGGTGAGTTATTTCAGCATGGAGGTGGAGGGGTATAATGTGTAATACTTTGCTGCTTTTTTTCTCCTTGTCTTTTTTTTGTCATAAAATCAGAGGGGAAAAAATATATCTAGCGATTTGAAACTGAAGATCGAAACGTGGGATATGCCTGTACTTTCAGGCAAATAGCTGTCTATTCGCAGTGCCATATGCTTGGTGACTTAAAATAATTTTGTATATAGCAAATAGAAATGCTAGTTTTTTGTGCTGTTGATTCTTCAGTGACTTAATATCAAGTGCAATATTTTGCTTATGATTAATGGGATACTGCTCAGTACCTTAGAAGATTGTCTAAGGTGTACTTAAGTGTCTTTTTATGGTGGCTTGTGTGGGAATTCTTAAAAACAGTGGAGCTCTGTTTGTTATATGTTCTTTTTATCAAACTTACGTTTCTTGCTTGTTCATATTTACTCAAAGTGTACTTAAAATGCCCTAAGACTTTTTTCCAGTAGTGTTTGAAAACTAAATACTGGGTTCTGAGGATTGACACAGCTGTATATAAAGGATAAGACCGTAAGTGTAAACAGTCATAAGACCATAAGCATAACATGTCATAAAAGGAGATACTGCATCAAAGGGAAATGCATTCCTGGCCTCATCAGTTAATAAAAGTTAACATGTCCACCCAGGATTCTTCTGTTTGAAGTGCTGATACAGGAATACTTATGCAAATATGAGCAGTAGTTTGCAGAATATTTGACATACCATCTAGTTTTTAACTTGTCAGAGCCTCTGCTGTACTGTATTGTTGGGTGTCGCTGGTTGAATATGTGTTAGTGAATATGTGTTAGTGAATATGTGTTAGTGAATATGTGTTAGTGAATATGTGTTAGTGAATATGTGTTAGTGAATATGTGTTAGTGAATATGTGTTAGTGAATATGTGTTAGTGAATATGTGTTAGTGAATATGTGTTAGTGAATATGTGTTAGTGAATATGTGTTAGTGAATATGTGTTAGTGAATATGTGTTAGTGAATATGTGTTAGTGAATATGTGTTAGTGAATATGTGTTAGTGAATATGTGTTAGTGAATATGTGTTAGTGAATATGTGTTAGTGAATATGTGTTAGTGAATATGTGTTAGTGAATATGTGTTAGTGAATATGTGTTAGTGAATATGTGTTAGTGATGAAGTTTCTAGTTCACACACAGCTGTTGGCTTAAGGATCTTCTGTTATAATGGTACTAGGTGGGACTCTGGTTCTGAGGCTGCCTTGAGATAAAAACACTGGAAAATCGGATTCTTGAGGTAGTGTGGGGTGGTTTGGGTTGTATGGTGGGTTTTGTTTTTTAAGAGTGGAAGGAAACGAGGTACGTGATTGTGATGGGCATTGTGCTGATACTCTGCTGAGTGCCATTGTAGTCTTAGAAATGGTTTCTGCTTGGATGTCTCCTTTGTTAAATAGAGGTGACGTGTTTTTTAGCAGCAGCAGAAGCTTTAGAAGAACATGAAGCAATATCAATAAAATGCTGAAACAGTGACATTGTTTCAAGATTTGTAGAGACTGTAACTGCCATTGAGGTGTTTTTAATGATGATATCAAGTAGATGGTATGAATTAAGTGTAGTTCAGATACTTAATTTAGCTAAGCATTTAATGAAATATTAAATAGCAAAGTCAATGAATTCTTCCTTCTCTGTTCGCTACCAGCAGAAGTGCAATATTGAGAAAACATGTCTCCTGGAAGGTCTCCAAATGCTAGAGAAATTAACTGCTGGGTGTTCAGAATAGTTAATGGGCCCATGCATGCTCCTCATAAGAAGCTGAAGATCTGGCTGAAGTGGTTTTATTTTGTAAAGGATGCTATGTAACTTTGTTAAAGCTTACTTCAGGCAGAAGTCTTTGCACGTGCCTTTAGTTTCAGTGACAGGATTGTGAGTGTGAGGCTGATTTGGAAAAGTTGTCTCAGCAAAATGACAAAAACACTTGGGTTCAGAAGTAGATATGAACTTCAAGATTGATGTAATTATACAAAGGAAATGTCTCCAAGTACTTGATAGGCATATTTTTTTTCAGTGGATTTTGAACTTTTTACATTGGTTCCAAGTAGGTTTAGTCACTGGGAGTGCTGTTGGCTGGGTATAATACTTATACAACAGTTATTTTCTGTCCTGCATTGGACTCTGTAGGCCTTCGGGGCTGTCATTCCAGCTGTGAAAGTGACGGTGCACTCTAATGTGCAGTGTGTTTTTAAATGAAGTTATAATGAAGTAATTCCACCTTTGAACAGTTTCTGTACCCTCCAACTGTTGAATACCGCATGAAATAGAGAATGAAATCAGAACTAAAATCACCTTTAGGTAAGAAGAGTATGAGGTGGTAAGGAAAATGATTTCTACAAGCAGGTCAAAAAGCAGTAAAATGAAGTCAAAATAAAAAGCAATTGGGCAGGAGTTTAAAAAAGAAAGGGCTGTGGAATTCTGAGGACATTTCTCTTAATGGGGAGATACAGTATTGCTGCTTTAAAATCTCCTGTAAATGAGTAGCAGAGGCCTCTATGCTGGCTTGTTTCAATTATCTTCTGATGGGTCAGCAGAGCCTGAAAATGTCACATTTTGCAGGTCTTTGTCATGTGGTTTGATTCTGAAATACGTGATGCGTGCCAGTAATGCATATTGAAGTTGGAGAAATGTGGTTCAAACTCTAGAATTCTATGTAATTGAGCTTCCTAGTATTTTCTCTAGGGTTTTGTAACTTTCTGATAACTTGGATGCAGAATAGAGTTTTTTATTCTTCAGTTTGTTGTACAACAGTAGATTACACTTGTTTAGGAAAAACAAAGCAAGATATGTTAACTTAGTTACAGCGGAGTTTTTTTTTTTTTTACCTCTTAAAGTATATGCTGCAGTGGTTTATTATGTAGGCTGCTCTACAGGTTGTTGCATATTGGTCAACTTTTCTCTGGAGAAGTTGAAAAAACAATAAAAATCACTTTGACGTAAAGAATAAGCAATGTGAGAGATGTTTGGTAGCACAGAAAGCAATTTAATGATGTTAGTTTCATATAACATGGAGGTATCATTTTAAGTGTGCCGTAGACATAGGGTAGTTCATACTGTATATTATAACTTGGATGCTCTGTGTGTTTTATAAAATCTGCACCAAAAAAGGCATGCATCAAAGAAAAAAAAAATTGTATAGTTTCCCCTGCCCTCTCCCCCTCCCAAGGTGGTGAATGTTGCTCTGGACCAGGGTTTTGACGCTCAACGTTTTGTGACATTTACTTGGTTAGTACCATGGTCAAGTTACTGGTTTAATGCATGTGATTTTACTGACTGTTAAACTGGTTGCAGCCAATACAAGCTTCAAGCTTTTGATACTCGGTGCTTCTGTCAGAGTGTTGGTTACACTTCTGTAAGTTTGAATGCCTTGTGTGAGACGGCTGTTGTCCTGAGGCAGGCAGTTCTTATGTTTAGTTCCTTGTTGTTAATGAGGTAAAATGGGGATTAGTAGATCAAAAAGCCTGGTATGTTCAACATGGATAAATGAAGAAATTTGGCAAGACTGGTATGTAAGGGCTGTTGTTCTTTAGGTTTGGATTTAGTGTTTGGGGCTTTTTTCCGTAAGTATAATTTTTAGGCTGTGTTTAGTATCTTTGCCAGCATATGTGTAGGTATTTGTCTCTGTGACTCTTCCTGAGTGCTTCTGGTTTCGCTTTTATATTTTGTGGTTTCAGTAATGAGATATTGGAGATGAGTGGAAATCTTAAAATTTGATAAGCAAAAAGGTTAACTAATAATTCATTCTTCTTTCAAATGCTAAATTGGCAAACATTAAAATGGATGTAACTTTTATTTTGAATAACATGTTTACAACCTCCAAAAGCATGATACAGTGCTCTTGTTTGTCATGTTATTCTGTTTTTTACCTTGTATAAATGATTTGTGGAATGTTTCAGTTGTAATTTCCTCTAATCAAAGTTATTGGGATATGAAATTATTATTGCTGACAGTATTTGTTTACTTAAATATTCATAGCTACTTCTGGGCAATGAAGATATAAATACACAACACTACTGTGAGTAAAACCTTCTTATAACTTCTATCAAGGAAGTCCCAGTATAAATATTCTTCAGGTGCCTGATAGTTAGCTGTGCGTTGTGTGTCTAGAAGGAGGGAAGTATAGAAAAGAACATTTCAAATATTACCTTTATCCTTGTCAACACTCTAAAATATGGAGAAGGGAAGAGCCGCAAGAAAATCCTTGATCAGAACAAAGTATTTATCCTTTTGCATTGACTGTGATGGTGGCTTTTCTCCTCATCTTGAGTCACAGGCTTTTGAAGTTGTTGAAAAGGGCAGTGCCAGTGCTTGCTAAAAGCCCCTGTGGAGTTT